CAGCTCCATCAGGCCTTCCTTCATCAGCGAGCTGCTTTATGACGCCATCCAGGAGGTCGTGCATTCATATAGACTATGACAGCAAAGAGGAAACATGACACACAGGACAAGGACAACACCACAGTACACTTCTAAAGCATGCTACATAAGGACTTCTCTTGACTCAGTTCTCGTACAGCTACAAATCATTATAATTTTCAACAGTTTGTTGGAAAATAACACAAAATCTCAATATCGTGTAATTAGCAAATGCTAAAACATCAGTCATTCTTAGCTGGTGTAAACAGTGTACTCACTTGCGTTTGCTTCAAGCATCATATCGTCATTCACTCCACTGTGTAGAGAACAGTACAGTGAATTACAACTATTGTATGGGACGTGGCTTTGTGGGCAAACTACGACGAATCAGTGACAGAATGTTAGAGACATTTCAAGGTCTGTACCTTCTGGACTTTCTGTTCCTCCTAACGTAGAACTTATAGATCACCATGAACAGCCCAACAGATACGATGATGATGATGAGGAAGCACAGAAAACCAATGAGAGCTTTGTCGTTATCTGTAAATGACGTCACAGCAGAAGAACATCAAAGTGGTCACATTCAAGGTACAAGGAAAGGAAACTGAGATGAACGTCAACGTAAAGTTATTTATACTTTCTAGTATCACATTAAAGAGCACATACACTTAGTGGAAATTTGTCCAGTCGTGGGATTGCTCTCAAACGCTTCATTGAAAACAATCACCTATAAAGACAGAACTTCATTAAGAATCACACTGTCCAGCAATATATGAGGAGTAGAACAGGAAGATTCAGAAGAATTTAAAAAGAATGAAGTTATACCAACCACCACTGTGTAGCTCGTAGAGTAGCTCAGGTCCCTGAATTCAAAGTCACAGTTGTCGTTCAAAGGTAGTTTGACATCTGTATTACGAAGATATGCTCTGTATCTCCTCTTACGTCCAAAGACATTCTTGGGTCCCTCACAGGTTGCTCTGATCACATTATTCTCCAGAAGACTCACGCTGACACTGGTGATATTATCTGGTTCTGTATGAGAATGAAAAAAGATTCCATATTTGACTTAAGATGCAACTCTTACTTAAAGTTAAAGACATGTTGTGGTGTCGGTACTTATTAGTGTGTTGNTGCCTGTTGTGTTCCAAAACCCATACAACTGTCATGTTTAGTACCATGCTGTATAAAGAGTTAGTATGTCCACGTACATAGTCAAATGCTGCTGGAAAATGCAGTCAAATGATGGTGTATATAAATGATGTGAATCGTACCCGTGCCTCATTCTGCATCTGATCTGACGTTAGAACAAATGAAATAACTAATAACATTTGGCCAAACTAGTGATTGCAGCCCAGAGAAGCAGGACTGTGAGACGACAGAGAGCTGCCATAGAGAGAGCGTAGGCGTGTGAATGTATACGTGCACGGTTAAGTCGAGATAAAGATCAGATATTCAAAAACTTTACCAGAAGTTGCATTTCCTCTTATTGCGAAGCGCCAAAAGAAAGAAAGAAAGAAATTGTTTTTCTAAAAGATACTTTGAATTTCACCTCACATCTCAGAAAGAATCCTCTTCTCCAAACCTCAGATTTCATTCCTTGTGTGTGTGTGACCTGTCAAGAACAGTGAACGCTAACAGCAACAAGAGGAAGATGGCAGATGGAGGCATTACCGTCTACTCTCAGCTGATTACCTCACTCAGTCGTGTCTTAAATATGAGGCTTTGAAACACATGCTCAGTGCACTGCCAGTCAATGTTTAGTCTCAAATTAACCGGCACAGTAAGGAGAAGGTTATGTGTCCTGGCAGGATGGTATTCCTCTGGCACAGGACTCCAGATTTCACATGCAAATGTGTTTTTTTTCTTTCTATCTCTCTCCTGTTCTGAGGCTCGCAGTGCTTTAAAACACAGCGGTAGCTACGTTTCATACAGACTCTTTCCTCTCAAACTCTGAGGAAAGAAAACATTCTGCCAGAAGTGGCCCAGAAGTGAGTTTCTTCATTTGTGCCGTTCTGCTAATTTCTTCTGTGTTGTTTGTGTGTTTGAGGTCATTAGCTGAGTGTTTATGGTCTCCTTCCTCCTTGGGTCCCATGGGTGCCCCCCTCCTGCCACACCCTCACTCCATTCTGTAGGCTCCCTCCACCACCACCCCCCCACCCAACTAAGCCATCCCTCTGGGTCCTCCAAATCCCACTTGGCCGGGGAGCAGTGGGGGTGGGCACTGGCTCTCTCCCCGTAATGAACTCCACAGAGACTGCTGTTCAGTTTCATCACAGCAAAAATTGCTCCCATGGAGCCCTGAACACAGTGAAAACAAACAAAAGTAAATATCTGGAATTAATACACAAGTTGTTTGGCGTTTCCCAGCATCTACGCCCCCCTCGCAGACTCTCCTGCTTCAAAGTATAGAGATATTTATACATTGCTAGAAACTGGCTCTGCATTCCGGGTGTAACGCTAAAAAACATTTTTTTTGTAAAAGGTTACACAGCATGCTGTTTTTTTTTTTCCTTTTTTTCCCTGTTGTTTGCCATGCATCCCAGATCCATGCATCCCTAAGTCCATCTTGTGGTGAAACATCCTCACTGCACCTGTGTTTAAATAAATGTGAATACACCTTGGAGCAGGTAGAGCCTTTGTTCAATGTATACGCAAATCTTTTGTATCTGAGGGGAGAAAATTAAACGTGTCGTCGCTTTTCTTTTTTATTATTAGCAAGGAGATTAAATATAAATAATCAAATCCCAAACTTGCATTTTCTTACATCTTATTTCGCTGTGAATGGTTTAACGTGTACGTCAAAGATTGCAGAAGCACAAGATGTTAAACTGCGCTCTGCTGCGGAAACCTTTGGCGCCTCTCTGAGAGTTTGCGGGTAACCACATTTGAACTTTGTGAGAAAAAGAATTCAGAAAAAGAGGAAGGCCTGCACTTATTCCTTAAATAGCGTGTGAGCCGGAACAGCTACTTTATAAGCAGTGTGCTGTACGTCTATGTGTACATTAAAGGAAGCGTGCAGAAGAAATAAAATAATCTCTCAGCTCATCATTTGTCCCAGGTGATCTCTGAGTGTTCTGAGGCATGAAAACGGGGCCGTTCCAGGGGACATTGACTTGGATTTTTTTTTTTTCTCTCTCTCTCTCTTTTTTTCCTGTTTGTTTGTTTTGTTTTTAGAAGCCTGGAATATCAATATTTTTTGCACATTTGAAATAGCTTGTGGCGCATGCTTGGCAATGGCAGCCTGAGCTTCAAACATATTAGTTTGCTGGGAGAGAAGAATCACCAGGGACAGTCTCCAAACACAAGCGGGAACAGCAGCACAGTCCTGTTCATCATTTGAAAGCTGCTATTGTTTGAACTTCAGTAACTTTAAACAGGTTAAACTCATATTTAGAATGAAACAGTTGTCTTGTACGCCCGCTCGGTTTTCAGGTTAGAATATTTGTCAGCGGCTGCTCTCCAGGGAAAATGTTGTGAGGTTCAGGTAAAGAAAGACAGTCCCTGCAGTCATTTATCAGTTGGAAGCTGCACCCAGCAGGCCGCAACTGGCGTCACTCATCAGCACAGCTCCTGACACACTAACATATGTGAAGGCAGGCGCACACACACAGTAAACACCGCACATAATAAGCATGTGTACACACACAAACACTGGTGTAATGAGTGACTCTTGCTCTGCACGTCCTTAATCTGCAACCACCAGGCCAGCACAGAGGGGGCACAGTAAAGTACAAGCAGCCTGCAGTGAGCTGAGCCAAAATAAAAAGCCAAGTGGCTCACTAAACCCGTCAGGGGCTCTTAAAAGGCACGCACTGCTTCTCCCTCGTCCATCCAGCAGGCCTACAGGAGCTTTATAAAATGCCGCCCCGCAAAACTTAACTCGGAAGCATCGGCCCAGCCTTCCGGAGCAGGCGTTTTCACAAACTGTAAACTGTTGGGAACAAATGTCGTCTTAAACATGTTCAAAAGAAACCTGATCCTCAGAGAGACGCTTTACAGGTGGCCGGGGGTGTGTCAGACGTAGAGTCCTCCCCAAAACACACACGCACACACACACACACACTCACACACACACACACACCATTGCTGTTTTTTACTTCCTATGTGAGACTCACTCGCTGCACCTCCTCCCCTCTGTGCTGACCAGACCGCAGCCTGTAAATAGAGAAAGATGTCAGACGAGTGTGTGTACGTGCCTCTGTGTATTTGAACAGATAGAAAGCAGGAACACGACGGTCACAAACACATGCACTCTTGTTTACTGGCTAATTTACTCCGTAGGATAACGTGTAAAGACACAGAGCTGTGCAACACTCTGAAACACATCAGATGTTTGCATCCGTCTCACCGAACCATCGACGAGGCGTCCATCGATCCCATATTCGGTCTGCAGGCTGACGACCATCCAAACATTCAATCAGAATTGTCCAGAACTGTCTTCAGCAACAAGAAGAACAAAGAGTCCTGCAGCAGATGGTACATGATCACAACAGATTCCTGGTGTTAGCGTGATGTGGTCAGTCACATAAAGAGGAAGAAGACGACACCGAGGCAGCTTCTCCAAGATGCAGGAGAAACCTGCAGGTTGAGGACCTTAAAAAGACGTTACTTTGCATGAAGTTAACTGATAAAAACTAAAAAGTATTTGGTACCGTCGGGTCTTGCAGCAATGCATAACACAATATGGCTGCAGTTTAAAGCGTTACAGACCTCGGTATCAGTGAATTTGTTGGATCACTCCACATTTGCAACCTATTAATTCATTAATTCAGCGCTGCAGGAGGATTGGTTTTGCATAATGCAAATGTGATCATCGAAACATTTAAGAGCAAGTTCAAGTCAAACAGCAAATTAGTCATTTTGTTGAGAACATACAGCATTAAAACCACATTTCAGCTTTTACATCAAGTCTCACGTTATCATATCGGCCTCTTGGACCAAACTCCCAGAGATTTTTTTCGGTGATAAATATCATGCAGGGTTTTATGTCCTCTTAAGTCTCCTATATTTCAACCGTATGCCAGACTTCCAAAAGGATTTCCCTCACTGTCACAAGCACATGTGCTGGGCCCTAGTAAAATAAGCACTCTGGCCATAAACTTGCCAATGAGCTGTCCCCAAATAACCACATCTGTCAGCTCAACTTAAACAGGCCCTTAAGAGTCACTTTTAAAGATGAAGGGACTTTGTCGGCTGTACACAGACTCACTTACCTCTGCTGCTGATCGAGAGACGAGCTGCAGTGATTCTTCTGAGGTTTAATAATTCACAGAGTGTTTTATTTAGAAATACAGCAGCATTACTCCTGAACAAAACAGAAGCTTGAGGTGTTCTATACAAACTCATCCGTCACTGGTTAAAACTCATGCAACGTTATGTAACACTGTCTCTAATTACAGACTGACTTATTTTGTTTTTTTTAGCAAAGTTAAATTTAAACCATCACACAGTTAAGCTCACAGGCTGCGCTGCATCTCACCTTCTAACAGTAAAAGCCCGGGACAATAACGTGATAGCTGGTTTCAGATTTAGGCCCGTGCAGTTTGCGTCTCAGGTGATTTGAATGCAGCTGCCGTGAGATGAGCTGAGAGCGGCTCTGCGGAGGAAAGGAGGAGGAGGAGAGGAGGAGGGTGTTGCTGTACCTGGCCGAGCCACGTTCCCACGGTCCTCTCCCTCCAACCCCCCAGCAGCCGGTCCCTCTGCCTCCTGAGCACACCGACTGTACCGCCTCTGAAGTTATGGAAACAAAACGTCCTCCTAAAACTCAGGTTTAAAGGTTGCCGAGGCGGGAGGAGAGGACGGATGAAAGAGGAGGAAGTAGTGTGTGTGTGTGTGTGTGTGTGTGTGTGTGTGTGTCGGTGGGGGTTTCTGTCAGCTCATCCCAGATAAGTTTTGGATGTCAACTTTAAGAAGCGGTTAAAGAATGAGACTTAAGACAAGGCATTGTCTGGTAAAATAATGGTAGTCAGTGTATTACGAGCTGCACCTGAAAGACAGGCAAGGAGCCAGACACACTTTTTCATGGTTCAGTGTAAAAAAAAAAAAAAAAAAAAAGAGGATAAAATAAAAACTTGGATCATCGTGAAATGCCGTCTGTTCTGGATATAATCAATAGCTAAAGAAGAATCCAGTTCAGGGTTGTCTCTCATATTTCAATCCCTGCTCTTCTGTGATCAATAAAAGTGAGCTGAAATCAAAGCGGGCCCTCTTTACTATTGTCTATTCAACGTTAGCAGACAAAGACTGAGGAGCCTTTGATCGCCCTGTCTGCAGGGCCCACAGCTAAACACAGACCCCATCCTCCCACTCCCACCCACCACCTCCAGGTGAGCAGTGTGTGTGTGTGTGTGTGTGTCAGTGTGTGTGTGTGTGTGTGCACGCTCACCAAAATGCTTTTTTATTTTTTTGTACACATATATGAGCGCACACACCAAAACAAAAGCACTTTTAAATAGAATTCACACAGAGAAGACGTGCAGTCGGCCCGGCGGGTCATCGCAGACGGGCCGTCCGCCGTCCTCGCTGTCTCCTGCCGTCCCGTCACGACTCCAACCGTTGGACTGGATCCGGTGGACAGCTGTGTCCTCATCCAACGTCTTCTTCCTGTTTTGTTACGATCTGTCCTCCTCTCTCTGTTGTTGTCTCGTCCTCTGTCTTTTTATTCCATTTGGTCCTTTTCCATCACCGTCGGTTGTGTCTCCTTGTCCCTGTCCCGTCCTCTTCCATCTCTGTCTGTCCTTTTCTTCCCAGTTTGTCTTTTCTGTCCTCCTTCTTCTGATGATCTTGGTATGCCGTCATTGAATTTCTTCTGTTCTGTCTCATTTTTTTCTGTCTTTTATTGTCTTCTGTCTGTCTTCATCCTTGTTCCTGTCCCTTTCTGTCTTTTGGTTTATCTCTTCTTCTGGTTTGTCTTTTTCTGTCCCGTCCTGTTTGTTCTCCTCCATCATGTTCTCCTCTGACTTGTCTTCTGATCTTTTCTTTGCTTTTCTGTTTTCTTACCTTCACTTCAGTCTTTTGCTTGTGTGTCCTGCCTGCTACTGATTTGTCTTCTGTCTTATGTTGTCCCGTTGAGTTCTGTTCTCTTGTATCATCCCTTATTTATCTTTTTTGTCTTTTTTCCTTTTCTTTTGGACTTGTTTTTATTATTTTTTTGTCTTCTTTGTTTTCTTTTGTCCTCTGCATGTTTTTTTATTCTGCCTCTCATCGTGCTCTCATGCGTCCTCTTTTGTTTAGTTGTCTTCAGTCCTTTCCTGTCTTTCTCTCTCCTCCTTCTACTTTCCGTTCTTGTTTTGTTCTCTCGTGGCCTTGTCGCCCAGTCCTGCCCCTTCTTCCATTGTCTCCTTGTGCCCTGATCTATTTTTTGTCCTCTCGCTGTCACTCAGGGAGCTGTGACGGACATTTTCAAGATGTGACATCTTATAGAGCGAGAGATTACTTGATTTATTGAAAGTCGTTACTCGCAGCCCTGTTCTTATCCCCCCTGTCCTTGCTTCTGTCATGTCCTTGTCTGTTTGTTCTTTTATGTCCTCTCAGGATTTACTGTCTCTTGTTCAATTCTGTCGTCTTCCAATGTGTCATTCTGTTTTGTCCTGTCCTCTCTTCCTCTTCTCTGTTCCTTCCTCTCTTTCGTCTCCATGTTCCTGTCATTCCCTCCTCTGTCTCCTCTCCTCATGTGTCTCCTTCTGCCTCTTCCATCTCCTCCTATCTCGTCCTCGTGTCTCGGGTGCCGCTCCGCTGTGCTGCATGCTCTCTGACAGCAGACAGGAGACACCGGAGCAGCAGGACCCTTCCACTCTCACCGTGCGCCTTGTTTACGAGTCCTAAACGACAGACAGCCTCCTGTGTCAGAGGAGGGGAGCAGAGGATCTGCTCTGGTTCAACACAAACACAATCTCATGATGACAGCCTACACGAGCACACTCAAGACAGCTTATTATATCAGGGTGCTCCAATGCACGCAGGTGCAGATTAAAACTGATGCTTTCTCCATCTGGCCACATGAGTGCATCACCGCAGCGTGAAAGTATGCTGTACATGTTGACACAAACACTGTCTGGGTGATTCAAATCCCTCTGACAGTGTTCATTTAGAGGTGAGACACAGAGGAAGCTCAGACCACATAAACGCTCTGCATTCTAATGAAGCCAAAGGACAGAGGAGTTATCAGCTGAATGTACTGAAAGCAGCAAAATGATCCGCTCGGCACAACAGTAGCATCTGTGAGGTGGTGTTATCGGACATTATTAGATTCTTAATACGGATGCACAAATGCGTGAGCAGCATTTTACCACAGGAGCTTGTGGAAATGTTGTTAGATTAAATTGCCTTTTATACACTTTGGTAGTTTAGTCAGAGCCAGTTTCATTCCCAAGACGTCAAATGCTGCTGTTGTTTTATCAAATCCCAGGCGTGATTTGGTGTCGGTGCCTCTGGTGGTGATGGTCGGTGCTGATGGACGTTTAGTTTTCTGCTTTAAAGGACCATCGTCAGGAGGTTGGAGGAGTTCAGGAGCATAAGTTGCAGGACTTTCACCCAACAGACTGAGGTCTGTGTCTTGTGCTGTAGTGATTGTTTTTTTCATGTAGATTTGTTTTATTTTGTGACTCATTTCACTTTCTGTTTGGTTGAGTTCATAAACTACATGGTTAGCAAAAAGGTCATGGTTCGGTTAAATTCCACGCTTTCACAACGTTAACCAAATTACAACACAAACGTCGTGTCATCCTGAGAGCAGCGACACAGAACGTTTGTCTGTCTATGACTAAGGTCTATCAAACTAACCTCTGTGTTGAAAGATGAATGTGAAGCGTACGCAGTGCATTCACATGTTTCTCCAGGGAGGCCTGACGCAGCGTTTGTGACAAGTTGGGAGAGAGACCGGACTGTTTACTCCAACGTACAGTAGGAGTCTTATTCTGAAGAAAAATTAGACAAGTATGCTTCCTTGGGCCTGTAACAGTTCAAACTCAGATGCTACTGAGAAGTCTATGGGGGACGTCTGGTGCTGCTCAGGTCCACAAGGCCCCAACCAGGGAAAAACATTTAATTCTACTGGCTCAGTCTGAAGTAAAAGGTTTTATTTTATTAAGTTATTATTCAT